AACAGGAAGTCCAGGTCCAGGAAATATGAGATTTGAACTTTGTTTTTGAAAGCTTTGCCTTTTTTTTTTTAAAGATTTATTTATTTATGTAAAAACTGGGGTACAGTTAGAGGCACGGGAGGGTGAGAAAATTCACCAGAGACAGAGTGGGGAGCAGAACAGGCAGAGGGACCGAGGACACTGCTGAGGGGAGCAGCGGGCGAGGCAGGAGAGGTCTGCTGCACCAAGTGGCGGGGAATCTAACCCGCACTGCAGAAGCTGCGGACAGCTTCATAGTGTGGCATTCAACCCGTTGCGCCTCCAGGGAGGCCCAGAAAGCTTTGCCTTTTAAAATAATTAAAAGTACCTCATGGATAGTCATAACTTTGCCACAGTTCTGCAGCAGGAACAGGTGAAAACAGCATGGATTAAAAAAGAATACAGGCTGAAAAACTGTGCTTGGACTGTTTCTAATGTGCATAGGTGAGCTTTCTCTCCAGACTCATTTACAGAGGTGGAAATCCAGGTACATTGGTGGAAATCCAGGTTTGCTACAAATAGAAGGCCTGCTGCTGTGTGTTATAATTTCTTGACTTTGGGACCTGTTCCATGAGTCCCAAGGGTGGGAACCACCGGGCTCCTGTGTCTCCATTGAGCTGAAAGTACACTTTGCTCATCTCACTGCTATAATCTATCCCAACTGTCGAGGTAGCTGTCTGGCCACCGGCAGCAAGGCTTGGGTCTGATCAGCTAGTTGTGTCCCAGCATCTAGTCACAGCATTGGCATTTTTCAATCAATAAAGGAATTTGTATGCTAAATCTATTCATATAGCTTAAACTTTAGACTGCAGAGATACATCAGATACAAACCATTCGGCCTTTTTCTGTATCTAATACAACTTAATTCTGAGCCTACCAAAAATTCAGAAAGGGTGGATCCAGAAAGATAGTTTTCTTTTGAGACAAACTGTTGCACATGTGTGTGTACTAGGTTGTGTGACTGGTTGAGTGAGTTACACATGAACAGTGCATGTATATGACATGTGGATTCAGTCTTAGGATTGGATATTGCATCACTGAAGGGGGAGGCTGGTTTTTATTCTATATTAACCTTTGTTGTCATGCCCAGGTCAGAGGAGCAGAGCAGAAAGAAAATAAGCAGGGCTGAAGGGATTTTTCTTTTGTTCTTTGTTCTTGATGGAAACTGAAGAATAGGAAAAGCTCTGAAATGTGCACCTTGTGAAGAAGGGATTGTGTTAGAAATAGAGACCCCTCAACAAGAGTATTGGAAGTAGTTTCCAAAGAGAGTTAATTTTTATTACCAGACCACTATGTTTGAAGAGACTTGCATTCTTCTTTTCACAGAAATACTAGTTTCATCTGTTTGCATTTTAGTACTACATGGCTGAAGGAAGATGAATAATTTTCAGGCGAGAAGTCATAAAGCTGGTATTTCTACTGAAATGGTTCATATAGCACAGTTATAAAAATAGCATAGCTTTTAGAATTTATCCAAATGTCATTGCTAATCTGTCTCAAAGTCACAGGCACAATCTATTCATTCTCTACAAGTCAAGAGATACAAACCCACAAAACTGTCTCTAGAATAAAATCCTTATAAATCCAGCACGATGGTATTACCATCTCTCTTTTTACTTTCTAATAAAGATAACAGCTGGGTTTCTTCACTTCAACATCTTTCTTTCATCATCTTTTCCCTGAATAAATGCTATCCTTTTTTTTTTTTTTTTTTGCCATTTCTTACATTTGTTTCTGATGATAAAGGCAAAGTTAAATAATGCTTTTCTAAAAGATGTTCAATATTATTAGCCATTGGGGATATACAATTTAAAAGCACAATAAAAAATCACTACACAGAGCCTCCCTGGTGGCTCAACAGGTTAAGACACAACCTATGAAGCTATTCACAGCAACTGCAGCACAAGTTCGATCCCCAGCCAGGGAGCTGCCCACAAGGTGCAGCAGACCTCTCCTGTCTCGCCCGCTGCTCCCCTCAGCAGTGTAGTTCAGTCAGTCTGCCTGTTCTGTTCTCCACTTTGTCTCTGGTGGATCCTCACACCCACCACACATCTGACCTGTACCTCAGCTCTTGTATGCATAAATAAATAAATCTTCCCAAAAATCACTATGCAGCTGTGAAAATGGCTATATTTAAAAATTATTGATAACATCAAATCTGATGGTGGGAAGGACCATGGCCAGGATGAGATTGTGAATAAGGTCATGTGGCTCCATGGAGTGGAGAGAAGAGTGGGACGAGATGGGCTGAGCAGAAGGAGGAGGCAGGGGTCAGACCCCATGAGTCCTGATGGCCAAGCCAAGGGTTTGAGTTTTAGGCTGAATGCCTTGGGAAGACAAATCTGAGTGTTACAGATAACATAGGCTGTAGAGAAGAGAACAGATTGAAGCAAAGGGTGTTCATGCAAGAGTGGAGGAAAATAGAGCCAAAAATTTATGTCAGGACCATGTAGGAGGTCTTTACTGCCAGGAAGAAGCATGTGACTTAATTTTGTAGATAAAAAAGAGCTGTGAAGAAGGAAAGAAATGATAGGATATGACCCTAAACTCTCTTTTCAAAGCATTTTTGTTGTAACAGTAAGAGAATCTTCATTTATAGTTGGCAGAGCATCAAGTACTTTTGTTTTCTGATTCTCTGATAAACAGATTTAGAGCAAAAAAGTCATGAAGGATCCCTCGATGCTTTATCCCTTTTGCCCTTTCAGTTCAGTAAGTAAATTTATGGTTAAATGTCACTAACAATTGAAACATAAAGCTTGAGAGGATAAATATATTTTTGAAATTAAATGGACTCACTGAGAATGAAAAAAATATGTAGAATCTTTGAATTGTTCACTCAGTTTGTTCCAATCATGATATCTTATTTAACTTTACTATGATGTCAAAACCAGATATTGACACTGGTACAATACTTTAACTAGTCTATAGACTCCATTCAATTTTCTTTCTTTTTTCCTTTACTTACTTGTATATAACATGGGTTGAATTAAAAGACTAAGGATCACATACCAGTTGTTAAGAATAAATTGTTACTGTTCTAAATAAATAAATAAATAAATAAATAAATAAATAAATAAATAAATGTTATTAAACATTTAGAAGGATTATTTTGGAAAAAAAAAGTATAAAACTTTACTTTGAAATCCAAACAAACCCACAGAACTTAATAAGCCAACAAATGGATGTGACTTTTCAGTTTTTAATAGAAAAAAAAAATCAATTGTATTTCCAAAGGGTTTGGAAACCTCTTCCTGATTCTCCCCTAGGCCTATTTACAAATTTTGACTCTGGGATAATGAGCAGGGTTCTGCCGTGGAACCAACATTCAATCTTCCTTTTCCCACTTTAGCACTATGGACATTTCGGAAGCCTCTGGGTTTAGGTGGAAAATTGCTGTGAATTTCTGTGGCCCCAAATACTGGACATCAATGTAATTTAATCAGTTTTTTAAAGTATTTATTGAGAACTAGTATGTCCTGGGTGTTCTACTAGGTATTATAGATTCAAAGGTAAATAATAAGTCATCCTTGCTGTAAAAGAGCTATCAGCTAGTTTGGTATAGTAGATGGGAATTCAAATAGCATTCTGAAGTAAGACGGAATGTGGAAATCATGCTAAAACAAGTGTCAAAAGAGCACAGGCGCTGAGTGAGAGATCTGTTCTCATCATGGGACTTGTCGAAGAGAGATGGGAGCCAAGTTAGCTGTTTCTCTAGAATCCATTTGCCTTATCTCCTACTCAGTGGATCACACATCTGTATCTGGGTGGGACTGACCTCACTCTGACTCTAAGAGTAAAGGTGAGCTAGTAGTTCTCAATCAAAGATGGTAACCTCTTCACTAGCAGACATTTGGAAGTCCACAGTAATGCTATTTGTTGTTACAAGGGCCAAAAAAAATGTCACCATAAATTTCCAAATGCCCTGTAGCAGAGAGGTGCCACATATAAAGAGGTGCTTATAAAGTAAGAAACAGCTCCATGTGATAAAAAACTGTTCCACTCAAAACAGCAACTGAAAAAACAGCGGTCTGGATCAATCAAAGAAATCTCATTCTATATTCGTTCAAGGAATCCAGGTTTAAACCAATTAGCTCACAGCATTCCCCTGGTTATATCCTTTCTGAAGCTTATTGGGCTTGTAGGAAGAAGCAGGTAGCTCCATCTAAATTGATTTAGACATATTTCCCATTCAATCTATATAATCTAAATTTATTTAGGTGGCTAGTTTGCTTCTCCATTTTTGTTACCACTGTTTCTAAGCAAATTATTAGGATGGCAGGAATGTTACTGAAGTATGAAAAGTAAATAGAAGCTTTAGAATTACTATTAAATTCATAATGTTACCATAAAAAGAGAGAAAGAAAAAGAAGGGTGAAACAAAAAGTCAGGGTTATTATTTATGGTTTAATGGGGAATATAAATGGGATATGGTAAAATTGTGAAAAGCTAAGCTAATGTACAATTTTATGTGTGTGTGTTTGTTTAAAAAAATGAGAAGGAGGGAGAGAAGGCATAGTGGCTGTCTTCATGTGCAACACATTCTAGGAATTTGAATGCTGTATCTTTAGAAAAAATTCTGTCCCTTCAGATTGCAAAATCTACACATTAAAGAAAGCTGGAAGAAAAGATTATTAAGCACTGTGATACTTAATCAAAGTCCATTAACATTGTCTAAAACTTTGTAAGTTGTGACTAAAATAGATTTATTTTATTCATATTATTAATTTTCCTACTGGCATGAGACTAGTTGGCAATATTCATAGCTACAAATAATTTTCGTATATTGTCAATGGTTATTATGATGTATGAAGTATGTAGAGGGATAAAATGTTCAATTACACTTAATTAAGAAAAATTATTAAGTCAGAGAAATAAAGTTCAAGTTCATATTCTTCCTGCTGCAAAGCTTATACAGTAGTATTCAGATAACCATTAACTATACTAAAAGTAAACTACATCTAGAAATTAAGAGTCATTGGTACCTGGATACTGGTCAGAGTTGTGTACTGGTAAGCCTTGACTACCAGGTAATTTGCTTCCAGGTCTATGAGTCCCAGGATCATATACTTCCACCATCGTCGTCGTAAAATTGCCAGGAGGTTTTCTTCCCCTGTGTTAAAAAGTCAAGAAGAAATGGGTTAGGTTCTTGACATATAATACTTATTTAGAAGGATTCTAAAATTTTGTAAAATAAAATTTTTTTACCATAACTTAGCAACTGTTTAATTAAGCAAATGAATCAATGTGTCAAAGACTGACATGTTCTATTCAGCTAATAGTACTCAGTGTAGGCTTTGGCCCTTCAGATTAGTTTCTATGCCAGAATGAGACTGAGCAGATTTTTGGTTAATATTTTATCATAAACATTTGAGGAAAAAAATACATTGTGTAAAAAATAAAAAGAAAGGTGTGCCAGAAAGGCTGCATAAACCCACAAAATCTAAATCACAATAAACTTCAGGATGGTAGAAAAGTAGGGAAGAGTGAAAAGCGTGGACAAACATCTCTGCTTGCAGCAGACATGCAGCAAGATTCCAAGATGTCATCTGAGTGCTTGCCCAGCTTTCAGCATCACACTCTAAGCATGTGAGAGTGATGAGAAAAGAGGAAGTTGAGGGGTCACAAATGCAAAAGAGTGCCAAGGGACTATGGTCTAAATACTGCCACGTCATCCTTACCATCTTTTAAGCTGGCCTGTAAATCTTCTCCAAAGAAGACATGCAGATGGCCAATAGGCATATGAAAAGATGCCCATCATCGCTAATCATCTGGGAAATGCAAATCAAAACCACAAGGAGATACCACTACGACGTCACACCTGTGAGAATGGCCCATATCAAAACAAAAGAAACAAGTGTGAAAAAAAAAAAAGGAACCCTCTTACACTGTTGGTGGGAATGCAGACTGGTCCAGCCCCAAGGAAAGAAGGGTAAAGTTCATTAAAAGACTAGAAATGAATCTGTCGTATGACCCAGCAATTCCACTACTAGGAATCTACCTAAAGAATGCTAAAACATTTCTCTTCTGCACTGTTGGTGGGAGTGCAAACTGGTCCAACCACTATGGAGAGCTGTGTGGAGATTTCTGGACCTACTAAACATAGAGCTTCCATATGATCCAGCAATTCCACTCCTAGGTATTTACCCAAAGGACACAGAAACATCAATTCCAAAGAGCACCTGCACCCCTATGTTTATAGCAGCACTGTTTACAATAGCTAAGCTTTGGAAACAACCCAAATGCCCAAAACTAGATGACTGGATCAAGAAGATGTGGTCCATATACACCATGGAATATTACTCAGCATTCAAAAAAGATAAACACATGCAATTTGCAGCAACATGGATGGCGCTGGAAGGGATCATCCTCAGCGAAATAAGCCAGAAAGAAAAAGAAAAATACCGAATGGTCTCACTCATAGCAGGAATCTAGAGAACTTAAATAAGGGACCAGGAAAATGAATAACTATAAGAAAGTGAAAATCAAAATCAACAAAAAACTATGAACCAGAGACACTCTATGGGGGGTGGGAGGTGGGGAGGGGAGGGATTGGGGTCAAAATAAGGGGGTTGCAATTGTATGGGGAATATAAAAATAAAATTTATTATATTAAAAAAAGAATGCTAAAACACTAATTTGAAAGGAAACCTGCAGTCCTATGTTTATAGCATCACTACTTACAAGAGTCAAGATATAGAAACCACCTAAATGCCTCAGAACAGATGAGTGAATCAAGATGTGGTACACACACACACACACACACACACACACACACACACACACACACACTGGAATACTACTTAGTGATTAAAAAAGATAAACTCATGCCATTGTGGCAACATGGCTGGAACTGAAAGGGATTATCCTAAGTGAAATAAGGCAGAAAAAGAAACAAATACCAGAGGGTTTCACTTAAATGTGGAACGTAAAGAAATTAAACAAATGACCTTAAATTTGAAGCAGGAGTGGGAAGGGAGGGAAAAGAGGTGATGAGAAAATGAGGACAGGGAGGAGGGGCAGAGGGAGCACAATGGACTATATGGAGAATTATGGGCGCTTTAAATTTACAAGGATGTAAAGTAAGAGTAACACACATACACACACACACAATTGATAAAAAAAAGCTGGAAGCATCAAAATAGACTTTGAATCTCTTGGTTCTTCATCCATATTGTTACATGTTCCATATGAGAAATTAACCTTGCTTCTCAATTATGATTATTAATAACAGTTCTCTGGAGCCAAGCTTTGAGGTCTTCAGAGAGGATGTGGAAAATACAGAAACACTAGTGAGTGGAGAAAAAGGAATGAGAAAGTACACAAGGTGGAACAGTATGTATTTCAACCTAATATGAGAAGTGACACTTCTACCCTATTCTATTTTTTAGAAGAGGGTTAATAAGTCCAGCCCACACTCAAGGGAGACACTTTCATATGGGTGTGGACACTGGGAGGCATGGATCATTGGAAGACAGCTCGAGGGCTGGCTACCCAGTGATACACAGCTTCAGGGTTCTAGCCGTGCTTCAGCTGGTCCTCAAGGTCTCAACAGACTCCATTTATTCACCTGTCGCTGGGCAACTCTCAGAACTTTGAGCCTTTGACTTCTGCCTTTAGTCTTATTCCAGTGATTTTCACAGGAAGTAGTCTTTCCAACCTTAATAGGAAACTTGCAAAAGCAAATTTTCCAGCTACATAGAAAATGTTAGAGTGTGAATTGTAGCTAGCTGACAACAAGGAGGGGTTTCTTGACCTTCAGTAGCTAACAGTTTTCTAGTCTCAGTTTGTTTGCCAGGTTTCTCACATGCTTTGCTTCAAGCACACTCAAAATAATGTTTTGCAGTGAATTGCTAACTGCTTTTCATTCTTCAAAATTAGCTATTCTCTGCTACTTACCTCATATCATTTCCCAACTAGGCAATGTGTATCCAGTTCTACACGGTCCCTTCACATGATTATGATTACTTACAAATCATCTCTTCACTAGAGTGGGAGTCCGAGTGGTAAGACATCAAATGTCTTACTCATATATGTATAGTAATGGCACTCATTGTACTGACATGTAGAAGGTAGGGATTTTGGAATGAATGAACAGTTGAATTGAAGAATATGCAGTGTAACATATTTGTATGTGAAAAGAACCAGTTCTACATAGGATGGTTTTTACACTTATACTTAGTGGCAATAATCCCCAAGGTCTTTTATTCATAGACAATTTGTTTTGGCAGTGGCCTTGCACAGCATTTCTGCCTTTCTTACTTTGCCTGCAAGTTTGGTGATTCAACACACCTCTTAGGATTTATCTCACAAATTATCCATTGTCAGATTGACTGAATAGTCACTTCTGGAGAAATTTTTAAAAACCCAGTCTAGACCTGGTTACCAGAAATTCTGATGTAACTGGTTCTGGGAATGGAGCTGAGAATCAAATCTAGAAATTTCAGATAGCTGGCGCTGATGGCCATTCTCAGTATGACTAAGGCTAGACATTCCCAAAAGATATAACCACATAATATCGAAGACTTTTATATGAAAGAAATAACCCAGGCATCTGACTCAAAGCATGCTTTCTCTTGTCTCTGGGCCCTTTCATATGCTGGTTCCTCTGCCAAGACAATTCTCCCTCCAGTCTTCAAGTGAAGTATCAACAGAGACACTACCACCAGGAAGCCCCCCTTGATCTCCCTAGACTTATTTGGGTTTTTCTGATATTAACAGTCTTTCTTTCTCCCACATATATCTCACATATCCCGAAATAATGAGTGTATTTCTTGACTCTGTTATTCATCAGGTCATTAAAAATTTGAAAATAGGGTCTCCCTGGTGGTGCAAGGGGTTAAGCACCGCACTATGACTCAATCAGCAGCCTCCGCAGCACGAGTTCAATCCCTGGGCTGCCAGGGAGCAACCCACATGGTGAGGTAGACCCCTCCTGTCTCGCCCGCTGCTGCCCTCAGCAGTGTATTTCAGTCACTCTGCCTGTTCTGTTCCCCACTCTATCTCTGGTGAATCCTTTCACCCCTTGCATCTCTGGGCTGTACTCCAGCTCTTGTATGCATAAATAAATAAGTAAATCTTAAAAAAAAATTAAAAAATCATTACTTTAAAAAAAATTGAAAATAGTGAAATATTCTTGGTCCTCATTTTATCTCTAGGACCCAACAGTATATTATGAACAGGCAATAAATAATATAGAATGCATAAATAAATTTCGTGTTTAATAATCTCAGCAATGTTAAATAACATTGAGATTGAGGTACTTAAAATATATCTACTATAAACATTCATGTTCCAGGCAATAAAAAATTCCTTTCTAGTTAAAATGTAGACAACTTCTGACAAAATTAATTTTGTTAACATTTTATACAAAATCTGCTATACATAGGACATAAAAAGGTCAATGACATATTAAACTGCAAAGCTGCAATTCTAAAGTCACAGGTCATTGTCCCAGTTAATTTATTCAATGAACAGAGAATTGCTAAACCTAGAGTACACCAGTCACATCTCAATATAGAGCACTGAAATCTGGGTCATAATGCTGCTTGTTCTACCAATCAACAACATATTCAAAGTCTAATTCATTACATAGATTCAAGGAATGATGTGTTGCCTTGCTATTTTGCTGAAGAATTTGCAAAGCAAAACAGCCTAAACAAATGTTTCCATATTGTTTCCTTTGAAGCACCTAAAAACAGAACTCATAGGCTTCCCTGGTGGTGCAGGGGTTAAGTCTCAGCACCATCAAGCTATAGCCAGCCACTGCAGCTTGAGTTTGATCCCCCACCAGGGAGCTGACCCACATGGTGCAACAAACCCCTCCTGATTTCCCCACTGCTTCCCTAGCAGGGTATTTCAGTAGATCTTCTTGTTCTGCACTCCACTCTCTGGTAAATCCTCTTACCCCCTCATTCCCACACCTCTGGCCTACAACCCAATTTTTGTATGCATAAATAAATAAAAAATAAATCTTTAAAAAAAACATAGAACTCACTTGCTTAGCAGAATTATCAAGGAAGATGAGAGAATAATTTCATAATATGGATAGCAGGAAAAAAAAAGCAGTCCTTCAAAGGACTGTTGGAGAATTTATCTATGTGACTGTCATAG